TCAACCGGGTGCTTCACCCTTTTGGGGGGGGTGGTTCAGTGTCTTACCCAAGGACACTGCGACACGTGGACTACAGGCACCGAGACCTCCAACCCTCCGGTTGGGAGATGACTGCTCTACCCACCGAACCACAGTCGCCCCATATATACATATATTTTACATTTACATTATACATATATTTGTGAATATTTATAAAATGAAGCTTCTGTTATCTTGCTACAATGATCAAATTTCAGAGGGTTACCTTCACAGCCAACTGTTAATCTTACCTGTGAGAAGTTCTGTCTTAAATTTGTTGCAAAAATTTGGCCTGTTTCTCATTTGTTTCATCCTCAGAACTGGATTTCAGCTCAAGATAAAATTACATTCTTTTTGTGGTTATGACTGAATGTATCAGTAAGAGAGAGTCTAAAAATGACTAAAATGTGCACTGAGTTCTTAAAGAGACATTACTTGAGTAGTTAGCTTTGAGCTATGTTTTGATTATGTACACTGTTTTAAGAAACATTTACAATGAAAACAGTTTGGTCAAAGCCTCATGTTTTCAAAGTACTACTTTTTGGGCTACTTTTTGTTTTATGTGTGAATTCTAAAGTGTGTGGTATTTAAATTGCCTTGATTAAAAAACACACATTAAAAAGTCTGATAACTTGTGCAACAATGACAAGGGGAAAATGTTGCACTGCTGTCACAAAAAGTCCTCAGCTGGCTGCTTTTCCCATTTGGCACCTAAAAAAGACTAAAATGTGCTCAGCTGGCTGCTTTTCCCATTTGGCAGGCAGCTCAAAAATGTACCAACTCCCTGCTCAGATTGGTCTTGAGTGAAATAAATCAACAAAGATTAGAAATTAGATGAGAGTAAGAAATGTTTGCTAAGAAGGTTGTATTAACAAGCAAAGAAAATATGCCACCAACCTCTCTACTGAGTTGGTCTTCCAAAGTCATCTTAGTGCTTTGGAGGTTTGTAACCAAGTCTTCCAAATGACCTTTGACCTACAGAAACAAGAAAAGCATAGCAAAATTTTGAAGAGTGTGTTTTTTGCTGTTTTTGGTTGTGCTGCCACCATTTTACTTTTTGTTTATGATCTTACTGTAGATAGGACAATTTCAGTTAAAGAAGGCAACATGCATCATGCAGCTAAAGATGAAAAAGAGTAAAAGATCCCATGTACCGAGATTCAGCTTAAGGGAAAAACCACATTACCATCGCCAAGAAAAACTGGATTCCTGGTCTAATCATTTATTGCATGATTTTTTGTAAAGTTATTATTGAAAAAAATCAAATCAAAATAACAGCAATAAACCCACACACAGAAACTAAGTCTACATCTACAATACCAACCCCTGCTCCAGGTGAAATGTCAGATGGCTGGAAAAAGAGTGGATACCATAAAATGTAATAATGACTTCATAATGCAAATTCAGCTATTTGATATCATGAGCTTACTCAAAGTATCACAGTAGCATTTTTTGCTTCTCTTAGACACAAAAACGTAGGCATGGCACACTCAAGATCCTGCAAGCAGTTACCTGAATGAGGTTTTCAGCACTCACCATAGCAGCTTCATGAACCTCTTTCTGAAGTGCATCAATTTTGTTAGACTGTTGCTTTGCAGCAGCTTCCAGCCTGGCGTTCTCTATCTCCAGCCTAAGGTGACATTGTATTCACACATTCATACACTGTATGTCAAAACATACTGTGTTTAGACTCATAGACATGTATTAGTGAATATATCATAATTTCTGTGCAATGAAACAATTTAATTTTTATTATTATTTATTATTTTTAATTTGAATATGACACATTTTTGAACATGACAT